TACATAAAGGCGGTGAGACACAGGAAACATGAAATTTCAATGGTCCTCTGGCATGGTTAAATAAAGGCGTTTATTCACAAGATGTACGAAATATCAATGGTCCGCTGGTATGGTTAAATAAAAGAATTCATTCACAAGATGTACGAAATATCAATGGTCCGCTGGCATGGTTAAATAAAGGAGTTCATTCACAAGATGTAAGACATCTTAATGGCCGCTGGCATGCTTGAATCAAGGCGGTGAGTCACAGGAAACAGATGAAATATCAATGGTCCACTGGCATGGTTAAATAAAGGCGTTCATTCACAAGGGGAACGGCTATTGCATTGAGAGTCAGACAGCGCGCTGATGAATCAATGGAGGAGCCGCTGCGGTTATCGTTCCTTAATGAGGGATGGGAGGCTGCGCAGATTTCTAATTGATCAGCCAGTTGCCTATTATTATTTTTTTCGTCTTCTAATAACGACGACGGATGAATGGGGCGCAGGTTTTATAATTGAAGGTGATAAAAAAAATTATCTAATAATTAATCAATAATAAACGATGATAAAAAATAACAACAATGGCGAGTTTGATGGTAGTGGACTAACATGTCACGGGAACTCTCCCCCCCGCCACCCCCTCCAGATGTCCAATTCTTGTGCTCTGGATTGCAGAGAGAATCGAACATCACCCACAGCTCCCTATTTCGACGTCGCTTCACGTGTGCACACACGCAAGACGAATCCGCCGAATTGGTAAGAAGCTTCCGCGTGTGTCTAACTTATTGCTAGTTGCTACTTTTCTTAAAAAAAAAAAATAATTATTTGATGACGACGATCAAACGAACGCGCGGACGTCGAATTCCCCGTGGCTGCCGAGTCGATACGCGTGGACTCGGGCGATCATTCCTCACGTTTTCTAAAGTTTTGTGCCACGCGTGATTCATTATTGCCTCCATGCATCAAGCCCTACACCGCTCTCTAATTGTCACGTGTGAATTGCACCTCGTTAAACGGAATGGGCACGTGCCCCAAGGCAACTTACGCAGATTTCTAATTGTTGCCAACGCCCGCCAGACATCCAATAACCAAAGGGAGACAAAACGCCACCGGCGGCTTCCACTGATTTCTAATCGCAGATCGCGACGTTGCCGCTTGTTAGCTGCAATGGGCACGTGCCCCACGGCAACTTACGCAGATTTCTAATTGTTGCCAACGCCAGACAACCAATAACCAAAGGGAGACAAAATGCCACCGGCAGCTTCCACTGATTTCTAATCGCAGATCGCGACTTGCCGCTTGTTAGCTGCAATGGACACTCGCCTCGCGGGTACTTCCGCGGATTTTTATTTTTATTAATATCATTATTGTTATTTCCACGCCAGACATCGAACAACCAAAAAGAGAGAAAACGCCATCGGCAGCTTCCACAGATTTCTAATCGCAGATCGCTAGCGGATTATTTTTTTCCCTTCTCATTTACACGCCAGACATCGAATAACCAAAGACGGAGACGAAACGCCACTGGCGGCTTCCACGGATTTCCAATTGCCATGCCACTGCAGCTCTTGACCCTGAACATCCCACACTAATTCTATCGAGGATCGTGATTGAATTACACCGGGAAATAAGCGCGTGCACAGTGCATATGCATCGTATGCTGCGACGACAACGGTAAAGGTGGCCCGTATAGCCTTTGGCCATGCTGTCGGGGCAAGTGCTGTTGCTTCGGGCATGAAGTCCACGCACACACAGAGGGGGCAGAGAGAGAGCCCGAGTCGGGAGTCGAAGCCAGCATAGACACAACATAGACACAGCACACACACAGCACACACACAACACACACACACACAGCACACACACACACAACACACACACAGCACAGCACACACACAGCACAGCACACACACAGCACAGCACACACACACACAGCACACACAGCACACACGCACACACACACAGCACACACACACACAGCACACACACACACACAGCACACACACACAACACACACACACACAGCACACACACACAGCACACACACACACAGCACACACACACACAGCACACACACACACAGCACACACACACACAGCACACACACACACAGCACACACACACACAGCACACACACACAGCACACACACACAGCACACACACAGCACACACACAGCACACACACAGCACACACACAGCACACACACAGCACACACACAGCACACACACAGCACACACACACAGCACACACACACAGCACACACACACAGCACACACACACAGCACACACACACAGCACACACACAGCACACACACACAGCACACACACACAGCACACACACACAGCACACACACACAGCACACACACACAGCACACACACACAGCACACACACATACACAGCACACACACAGCACACACACACAGCACACACACACACAGCACACACACACACACACCACACACACAGCACACACACACAGCACACACACACACAGCACACACATAGACACACACACACACATAGACACACACACAGCACACACACATAGACACACACACAGCACACACACATAGACACACACACATAGACACACACACAGCACACACACACACAGCACACAACACGCACACACACAGCATACACACAACATACACACATAGACACACAGCACACACACACACACAGCACACATACACACCATGCATACAGCATACACACACAGCATACACACACAGTACACACACAGCACACACACACAGCATACACACACAGTACACACACAGCACACACACAGCATACACACACAGCACACACACAGCACACACACACAGCATAGACACACAAAGCACACACACACACAGCACACACACAGCACACACACACAGCGAATACACTGCATAGACACACAACACACACACTGCATACACACAGTACACACATAGTACACACAAAGCACACCCACAGAATACACACAGCATAGACACACACACAAACACACAGCACATACACACAGCATACACACAGCATACACACACAGCATAGACACACATACACACAGCATAGACACAGCATACACACAGCATAGACACATAGCACACAGCATAGACACATAACACACACAGCATAGACACACATACGCACAGCATACATACACACACAGCATAGACACATAGCACACACACAGCATAGACACACACACACAGCATAGAGACACACAGCATAGACACAGCATACACACAGCATAGACACATACACACAGCATAGACACACACACACAGCATAGACACACATACGCACAGCATACATACACACACAGCATAGACACATAGCACACACACAGCATAGACACACACAGCATAGAGACACACACAGCATAGACACAGCATACACACAGCATAGACACATAGCACACAGCATAGACACATAACACACACAGCATAGACACACATACACACAGCATAGACATACAACACATATACACACATAACACATACACACAGCATAGACACATAACACACACAGCATAAACACACACAGCACACACACAGTATTGACACACATACACACAGCATAGACACACACAGCATAGACACATCGCACACATACAACACACACATAACACACACGCATTATAAACAACACACACATCACACGCACATCACACGCACATAACATCACACCACACACACACACAAATCACATCACACATAAAGCACACACGCACACACACGCATTATAAACAAAACACACATTACACACGCATCAGACGCACACAGCACACACACAGCATAGACACACACACAGCATAGACACACACAGCACACACACAGCATATACACATCGCACACATACAACACACACATAACACACACGCATTATAAACAACACACACATCACACGCACACCACATCACACCACACACACACACAAATCACATCACACATAAAGCACACACGCACACACACGCACACACAACACACACACGCATTATAAACAAAACACACATTACACACGCATCAGACGCACACAACATCACACTTACAGTGTCTCCACACTAATCTCATCAGAGGGAGAGAAGTCCTCATGCTAGAGGAAGCTGCTATGAAGAATAATGTAATATGAGAGAGAGAGATGGAGAGAGCGAGAGATAGGGAGAGAGAGAGAGCGCGGGAGAGGAGAGAGATAGGCGAGAGAGACTTTTGATTTTTAAACAATTTTTATTGCCGCCAGCAGCAACAGCACTGGAGGCGATTCCGATACGAAATACACAAAGTCACCAGCAGACAAATAACACAAACACAATAACAACACAGGCGCTGTGGCGGTAGATACGCCGCGCACAACACGAAATAAAAGCCACGTGGTGGTGGTGGTTATGGTGGTGCTGGTGGTTGTGATGGTGGTTGTGGTGGTGGTGGTGGTGGTTGTGGTGGTTGTGGTGGTGGTGGTGATTGTGGTGGTGGTGGTGGTTGTGGTGGTTGTGGTGGTGGTGGTGGTCATCGCGCCTGCCACGGTGACGAGCGAACGCTTCAGAAGGTGAACACCACGAGGGTGCCGTCCACGCTGGTGCAGAGAGGGGCTTTTCCGGCTCCCCAGCGTTCGAAGAAGACGCGCTGCACATCACCGACATGTGTGTGGCACATGGCGTGCTCCAGCCGGAGCCGCGCCTTGAGCAGAGAGAGACAGAGACACAGAGAGAGAGAGACAGAGACACAGAGAGAGAGAGAGAGACACACAGACTTTTGACTGACTTTTATAAGTTTATTTCACCAGCGCAAATTGCGCTGGAATATTCCGGTTCATTCAATACACCTGCCTTTATGGCAACAAAAATTTTATACAACGTCATCCCGCACCACATCGCCACCGCCCCACAGCCAGTGTCCGGTGTGCTTTTCAAAACCACTCAGTTCACCTGCCTTTATGGCAATTAACGCTCATCGTCATCACACACCACGTCGCCACCGCTCACAGCCAGTGTCTGGTGTGCTCGTCATCCGGGCTCTCACACCCCTCTGCCTAGCAGAGTCGCTCTTCCGCTCCCACCTCCTCACCCTCCTCCCCGGCTGGCGGCGGCGGGTAGCGGTGTCTTCTTCAACGCCGCGGGGGGGGAAAGGGGTGATGGGGGGGGATGGTGGCTGTTTTTCTGACCTTGTTCATCAAGGCCTTTACCCGGAAGATTTCCTGACGGCTATATCCGAACTTGCTTGGGTCCTGGACCACCCGCCGGGCTGTGCTCATAAAGTTCTTCCTGTTGGGGAAACTGTCCTGCACACGGATGTTTCGTTTCCCGTACGACCATTTCAGGAAACCAAGGAGGTATTCGGGGGAGCACTCCATCTCGGGCATCGGAGGCCAGCTCATCGGCCTTTCCGCCTGTCCCTTTGGGGCGCCGCCGCTGACGCCGCCCACCCTGCTCCCTTGCGACGCCGGGCTGGGCGAGGCTGAGTCTGACTCCTCGACGTCCGGCAGGATCGGCCCCGTTCCGACCAATAAATCCAACACCCGGTTGGCCTCCCAATCACTGAAACCGTAACCGTGTGGATCCCAATTCACGTCCGTTACCACCTCCGCAAGGGAGCGCTTATCGGGGAAAGCCTTCATCAGCTCTTTCACCGCATTCCCCTTTTTCTTCCTTCCCGTCTCCTTCAACCACAAGAGGAGGGCTCTGGGCGTGCACTCCCCCGGCCTAGCCTCATTCCTCCAACCTCCGAGCTTCTGGGGGTACTCCTCCTCATCCAGATCGTCCTCCGAGTCACCACTATTAGCTACGGCTACAGCTTTCCCGTCGGCGCCAACCCACCCTCCGGTATCCGCCGACGTTCCGGGAACGGGGACCTCACCGGGCTCAGTCCCAAGTGCGTGCAGCTTCCTCCAACCCTTCGGTCTCTTGGCCCGCCCCGTGGCGGACGAGGGGATGTTTTTAGGAGGCACGAAAACGCCCGGCACCCACCTGGCGCCCGCGGCGCCCAGCAAAGTTAGGTCCGGCTGCTGACCCCCTCCGTCGCCTATTGCCAGAGGCACGCTACCTCTGGCCTTCATGGCCTCTCTCTCCATGTTCTCCCCGCAGCTGCCGCTCTCTGCAGCACTTTCTCTCTCGGTCGCCGTCAGCTCCATGCTCCCTTCCTCGTCACCTATTGGGCCGTGTGAAGGGAGGCCCTCCCGGGCTGCAGCTCCGCTCAGCTCAGCACTGGCGCTGGCGGTGGTCGACGGTTCTTCTCCTCCCGATGCCGGGACGGGCGGAGCCGGGCTCGGCGACCGCGCTCTCGGCGTCACCACGTCCGCCGGGGTCGCGCCGCTGGTGGTCTCCAATACCTTTCCCTCTGTCTCCACTGGGCAGCCGGCTGGCTGGCTGACCGTCTGTCCGACGTCGCCAGCTATGGCCGCCCTCTTCGGCTGGCCGTTTTCA